GAGAGAGAGAGAGAGAGAGAGAGAGAGAGAGAGATTGGTGGTCCGTGCGCAATAGCGGTTTGGCACAACTTTTACGCACACATTTAAACGGACCAAATCGATCAATTAATCGACTGTGGAGCAATCACGACATCTTTAGTTTATACACCAAAGGAAAATGCATCACGTGACTTCGTTAAATAAATCAAATCCCCACATGAAACCACACTTTAATGTAATTATAGTAACAAAATCATTATTTCCACTCAGCAAAAAGTCCAGAGCGGATTTCTGCGTCAGCATAAGACCCACAGGAAGGATCACTTACCCTCTCGCTCGATTTCAAAGACGCTTATGGCATCCTGCGTGTTGAGCGGTCGGACTTCACTCGCGGGAAGCGTGTGTCTCCTTTGGATACCGGGCGAAACTGAAGGTGGGGACTGCATTGGCTTGATGAAAGGCTGCGCGCCCACAACTGACATTATACGACACTGCGCTCTCCTCCCGGAAAAAAGTGTTTCTGCGCTCTCCTGCTCTCCTCCCTGCTTCGCAGGATCACCTCTGTCGGGCCCTGCGAGGACAACAGGGGGTTTGGATCTGTATTTATAGAACAGATCTCCTAGCTGTGATTCACAGGCTGATTTGCATTTGAATATTTTGGCTGTCAATGAATGAATAAAAAAAGGTCACAACATTGTAGGGCCATTTTCTGAACCCTGTAATCAACAGAAGCCATTGTTGGTATTTACCATTAAAACCGACAGACAATGATTGATGACTCACTGAGTCACCACTGCTGGCTTTTTTTTTTTTTCTTGGCTTGTGTACAGGGAGCCATGATGCCCCTGGAGCAGCTGCAGGTGGTAAAAGTTTGCTTAAGTGCTTTTATTGCATTTGATCAAACTATCCAGTGCGGTCAAGTCTGATAAGAAGCAGATTATAACGAAACAAACCTCTGTCATCCATCACTTGTACACTTTCCAAAGCAACAACCAGGCTGCGAGCGATACTTACCGGAAGGTGTTGACGTGTAAGTCCGTTAAGTTTGCGGAGTGACTGCTGAAGCAGCTCTGCGTCTCTCTGTTTGCGTCTCACCTGCTGCACAGCTCTCTTCATTATGGAGTGATTATTACTATGAGTCACATGGTGAAGGATTACAGAAGTTGTTTCCACAACTCGGCGCATTACAGGCACTTTATCTCCTCTCTCACTGAACACACGCACACAGACTCCACAGTGTGTTTTGGATAAAAAGGGAAGCACTGTATGTAAGTGGTTCCCAACGCTCCATAATTTTATGTTTGGGCTGTTGATTGAATCACCTAAAAATGTTTAGGGGTGAAATGTCTCAGCTCGTCTGAGGGAGAAGGCTGCTCTGGGGATGGCATCCAATGCCTGCCTGGCATTGGATGGTCCACATATGTTAGTTCAAATGTTCATTGTCAACGGGCAGCCAATCAGAACAAAGTTGGGATGAAAGCGGGAGGAACTTGTTTCACACAGAGGATGATCTGAGAGGAAGCAACTTATCACCCAGTGTGGGATAAATAAAGATTATGTTGAACTACTAAGACACTTTATTAGAGCCTCAAAACCAAATAACTGAGAACATAATGGATCCCCTTTAAACACTGTTAAGGTACAGCACTGGAGTAAACTTACTGGACACTGTTGGTGTTCACAGTTTGGTTTCTGTGACTTTAAAAAAGGTTCCTGTGCTCAAAAAGACGGACTGACATTAAATTACCTTCTAGGACTGGAGGGCTTACAAAAAAGGTGTAAGATCAGCAAGACAATTTTATAAAAACCTTCTGCTGGGCTGCCGAAGTGTTAGAAGTGCTCCCATTTTGGCTTTCTGAGGACATTCATCATACTTTACCTTCTTTGTCTTTCTGGTTTTGTGTTAAAAGATCCCAGCAGGCAGGTGTGTATGGGTTTGTTCTGGTTTAGATTTTCTTTTTTTACGGATCTGTCACTACAAACTAGCATTCACAAACTCACCACACGATGTTCTTCTTTCTTTTTCTTAAAAACGTAGATACATTTTGGTTCTGTTAACTCTGTTATCTCCGTTGGCATTCACCCTGTTTTATCTGACCTTTGAACTGGTTCATGACTGTATTTTGTAACACTCAACCCTCACAGGTTCTCACCCCAAACACAAGTAAATTGGTTAAACTGAGGAAACACTGGCAAGGTTCTTAACAGCAATGAGTGGAGGGTGAAAAACAGACACATCCTTTTTCTTTTCTTGAGACATCTAAAGCTGTTTATCATCCGATCTTTAAACAGATCGTTCATGAAAGTAAATCTTCTTGTTTTTATATTAGCTGTAAGATAAAAACATGGATGTGTTATTAGTTATTATGCAGTTATTTTCCTGGGCTATGTGTGACTCCCAAACTAATAGAAGTTTGATGCCTCTGGCAGTGAAGAAGACATCTGTAGCATCTCATCTTTGAGTTCAACTAAATGCTCTTTAGTCAAAAGACAAAAAATAGACAAAAACATCAGTGACTGCTGAGGAAACCAGGAGAGTATTGGGCTCCATAGACTTTAATGCATTATAGAACTTCTAAAGACTCATAAACTGTACGTGTCATGAGCAAAGGTACAGTTGAGCAATGTGCAATACTGAGCATTTTGAAATATGAATGGAGTTTGTCTCGTATACAATAGCAGAGATATAAATACAGTTGATGTCTATTGGATTGTTTTTAACTCTTAATAACTCAAAAAGTATAAAAGTTACTGATAAGAAAAGTCATAGCACCCATCTACAAAGAACCCCACACGGCTGACATATCAATCATCGTGGCAACATACACGCCAAAGTAAATCAGGTTTCCACTAATATAATCCATTACAAATGTAAATTTATGATTTTTGCTTTATGAAAATACCTTCATGAAATTAAGCATGTTTCAATATATGAACAGTATATGTGGCATAAATGGGTTTAGAGTTTAAAGAGAGCGAAAAAAGGCACAGAAGAAGAAGAATGAAGCGAGAGGACATGAGTGCGATTTAGCGCTCACGCCAAATAATTACAAGTCAACACTGACCTACTGTCGAACGTAAGAGAAACCAATGCAAGAAGCAGCTTACACTCACATTTTATACTCGTACGCAAGCAAGCAATCCTAGCATAGGACTGGAAAAGCAAACAATATCAGTTCCAGTTCATAACTAATATAACTAAACTGAGTCACATGGTGCATGTATTGTAGACCGGTGAAAAAAATAGCATCTGTTTTCATTATGATGCGCTCCTTTCAAATATTGCAGTGCTATCGTTTTAGCATTTGGAAGCATTCTGAGCAGGGGTGTCGAACTCCAGGCCTCGAGGGCCGGTGTCCTGCAGGTTTTAGATCTCGTCCCGGGTCAACACACCTGAATCAAGTGATCAGTTCATTACCAGGCCTCTGGAGAACTTCAGGACATGTTGAGGAGGTAATTTAGCCATTTAAACCAGCTGTGTTGGATCAAGGACACATCGAAAACCTGCAGGACACTGGCCCTCGAGGCCTGGAGTTCGACACCTGTGAGCTAAACGGTGGTCCAGCAGAAGAAAATCAACTAGAGGAGCTGAGCACAGAGCTGGAGTAGTAAGGCGTTTCTTACAGTCTTTAGTGGGGCGGTGGTGAGAGCATTGGGGGTCCAACTGCTGGTGTCTGCTAAGGTTGAAAAGGAAAGTCAGGATGGCTTAGGTCATGCTGCCTGTGGTTTGAAGAGGGAAATCTAGTCAAACTGGGGATGTTTTGGACTTTATGTGCTAAAGTGGTCAGAAGAGGGTCCCTGTTTAAGCTGTGAGAGTCCCGCTGTGTCTGTTAGGGCTGACTGAGGGAGGGCAAAAGGCTTTTCTTCTACTCTGTTTGTGGCGCTGGGGTCTCATTGGCATTGTTGTCAGTGATCTTGTTTTCCAGCTCATCGTCGGACAGGAGGTCCAAAGAAGAAGTTCCCTCGACCTGCAGCGGACGTCTGCCTGAGCGACTGGAGGAGAAGGTGATGGGGCCACCACGCCTGTAAGAGGGAGAGGAGCAGAGAGGAGGTAAAAAACAGGAAGGCACAAATTAAAATGGAAAATGTCTGCTGCTGTTAGCAACAAATGGTTAAAGTAGCAATGTCACTTTAAAAAAAAAGATCAAGTAAATGAGGATCCTGTGACTGCAGCCACTTTCTCCCTCCTGACCTGAGGCGGTTCTTGAGAGTGTGGACCTCACGGCTCAGGCCCTCGCTGGCCTCGGTGGCGTCATCCAGTTCTCTCTGCAGCTTCCTACGTGAAGCGTTGGCCCTCGTGGCCTCCTCTTCAGCCTCCTCCAGCTGCCGCTTCAGCTGCTTCATACGGGAGTTGGCCTTTTCCACCTTCACACACACGGAGACGCGAGACATAGAGCTGTTGTTAAGCTGAAGCTGAGAACACGCGCAGTGAGTGATAAATGCAGCTTATTTACAGCAGCAGTAGACATACTTGCTCTTTAAACTGGTCGGCATGGCGACGCTCATCCTCCACTTGCATGCAGACTTCTTTTAGCTTCTTCTCGGTCCTTCTGACGATCTTGTTGGCTGCCGCTCGCTCCCTTGAGTGGAGAAGACGTTCCACGTTTAAAGTTTTCTGACTGGTTTTGTTCATTAGCTAGAGCACGAAGAGCGGTGTAGTAAATTCCTACCTTGCCTCCTGCTCCAGCTGTTCCTCCAGCTGTGCTATTTTGGCCTCCAGGGCAGTGATGGAGGCCTTGAACCTGTTCTTCACAGAACCCTCCAGCTCGCCCAGCTTGGCCCGCAGCTCCTTGTTTTGACGCTCCAGTTGCTGGCGAGCATTTTCGCTTTTCTGGGCTGTGCTGCGCTCTGCGCTCAGCTCTGTAGTCAGAGTGTCCACCTGATGGAGGGCGAGAAAGGTGGAGTAAAAAAAAAAAAATCGTCATGGAGAAACAGAGAGAATCCAAGTGGACAGGGATGGTGCACGACACAGGTTATGGTTCCTCTCCGATAGCCGAGATGGGTAAAAACCTGCCCTCCTCATCAGTGCTGCCAGACTGAGGTTGACAAAACCCCCCCAGATATTTTCATTTGGAGATGACATCTGTCGATCTTTGGTTTCACATGGATTTGTTGGCTTTTTATGTTTCCTTAAAAAGCTGCAGTCAACTCAAGACAAACTGATACACCTCTGAAATGAAACAAGGGCCCATCCAGCTTTCTTACATGCTTACAGCTTCTTGGAGCTCAGTAAATGTTTTAGTCCAATGAAGACTCGGATGATTAAAGACACTGAATACGCTCATACTGACATTGCGGTATGAAATCAAACCTGCATGGTTGTCTTTCTGAAGCGGTCATTGAGTAGCTCCATGTTGCCCTGCTCCTCTTCCAGCTCCTCCTCCAGCTGGGCGATGCGAGCCTCCAGCCTTCTCTTCTCATCCATCAGAGCAGTCCTGACACAACGAGAAAAATAAGATGTCCTCGATGAACAGAGCAGCCGAAATACGACTGTCAGGGTCATTTTAGTTTTTCTGTAAATTATTGGTTTGGTTTTTGAGAGTCATTTGTTTTGACTTTTGCACTTTTCTCGTAATGTCATTTCCTAGAGCAGGTGAACTTACTTCCCAGAGGTGCTGTTTGAGATTTCATCTTGCAGCTCATCGCGCTCCTGCTCCGCGTGGCGTCGTCCCCTCTCAGACGCTGCTAAGTCCTGCAGGGCAGAAAAAAAAAAAATCTATCAGCACCAATGTTCCCTCTAATTTTCCACGTGTCTGAGCGAACACACAAACTCCCTGAGCGGTCCCTTGGACCACTGTGAGCGACATCAGACGTGTGCACTGTGGTCACGCCAGCATTGAATCCATCCAAGTTACATGGTTTATTAAGATAATCAAATTACAGCATTTACATTTATGTTAGACTACTTTTAATTAACTGCTTTAGCCCATTTACAATGAAAATGTAAAACAAAAATGTAGTCATTGACCTGTGTAGTATGGTAACACTATTGGAAGTAAAAATAACTTGAACTCAAATTTTGAAAACACAACTTTCTTCTTCTTTTTTCTTTTTTATAAAGCTCTGACTTGTATTATAAGTATGAGTCTGTGGTCTGGGAGAGAGTCCTGTAACTCTGTCTGCAAAATACAGTATATAATGACCAATGTTGGGCAATTAATTATATAGTTACTTCTTCAAAAAAGTACCTCAGTTTGACAAACAACAAAGTTTTTTGCAGCTATTTTTTTTAAATGCAGTCAAGGTGTTTTTTAAATAAACATTTCAAACTATTTACAGCACAATCAGCTGTTCTGCATCAAATTTGATGCCATACAAATTATTTGTGCCACTCCAAAAATAATTTCTGTCCACATAAAGGAGAACAACAGCCTGATACCTGCAGGCCTGACAACAGGAGATGTATCACTGCTGTAACACCTGTAACACTCAGCAGTCGCCTCATTGTTCTGACACACACAACAAGACTATTGACTACACTATGCTATGGCGCAAATCTCTTACATCTCAAAACACCGCGGTCACTCCTAAAACTTCCCCCCGTTTCTTAACAACTTGCCATATTATTTTTTGATTGGTTGACATGGTACTTTTTTCGACCAATAGGAAAGGGTGGGGTTTTTTTGGTTTTGTTTTTGCTCACAGGCAGAGATTGCTTTCGAGCGTTTTTTCTTATAGAACGTTTCTTCCCGCAGTAAATATAAACAACGACAGTATTCAGGAAGAAAACCAAACATTGCAGATATTTTTTATCATAACTCTGGTTTTACGTGGCCTATCAACACAATTTAAAAACTGGTATAAAGTCCAATGGTTGTACACGTTGTCATTAACGTGGTTTCACGCCACATCAGCTACACCGCTTTGCTAGCTAAAACACCAGTGTCAGCACATAAGGACGCTGTCATAGCCTGTCAGCGACATTGATTAGCTGCGTATATATGAATGTGAATCGCATTATTGGCTGGACTATGGGATAAGGTGGCATCGTTCTAATCCCATACGGGAGCAGCCAGTCACTTACTGACTAACACTGCAAAACAGAATTGTTGAAATTTTAATTTTAATTTCAATTCAGGTTAGATTTTTTTTGTGCGCAACGCAGATTTTCTGTGCGCAGAGACCGTGCCAGCAGTGCGCAATTGCGCATGTGCGCAGCTTAGAGGGAACATTGATCAGCACTTCATCGAACATTAAGAGGGACTCTTGAATGTATAAACTGCTGTTAACTGTGAATTACCGACACCCTGCATAGCAACAAACATCACAAAACGTCTGAGCTTCAGACTGTCCTGACCTCATGTAGCTGTACAATCTCTGCCTCCAGGCTCTTGAGCTTCTTCTCGTTTTCCTTGGATAGGGCAAAAATATCGTCTCTGGAAGCTCGAGTGTCTTCCAGCTCCCTCTGGTAGTCTTTCATTTGGGCCTGAAGGAAGCAACAACAAGGCATGACTGGAGAATAAAGTAAAAAAATTCGGCTGATGCAAACACGTGAATAAAATCTGCACCTGTAACTTGCGCAGCTGTTTGATGGCTTCGTCTCGAGCCTTGTTGGCTCCTTCTATGTGACCCTCTATATCCTTCAGGTCCATCTCCAGCTTCTTTCTAGCAGCCACAGCCAAAGCTCTCTGCTTCCTCTCATCCTCCAACTCCGCCTCCATCTCTCGCACCTGGAAGGAGACATCACAAGTCATCAGTGTGGAAATTATGGGGAACGAACCAATGCAACATAATTAGATTTAATTTCCACCTGCTTGACCAGTGCTCTCTTCTTCTCATCGTTCTGGTCGTCCCGGCCCTGCAGGTCTCTCTCATACTGGGCCTTCATGGCCTGCATGTTGACCTCCAGGCGCAGCTTGGCGTCCTCTGTGGCCTGCAGCTCGTCCTCCAGCTCCTCCAGCTGAGTCTTCATCTCCTCCAGCTGCTGCTCCAGCGTGCGCTTTGACTTCTCCAGCTCATGGACCTGATATGTGTGTGTGAGATATGAAAAAGAGGAGTGAATGAAAAAAAAAGAAGAAACACTTGGATTCAAACTTCAAAGGTCCCCTTCTAAAACACTGTGCCGCTCACATTCTTGCCCACGTCGTCCTTCGAGCTCATCAGATCCTCCATTTCAGCGCGGAGCTGCTTGTTAATCCTCTCTAGCTCCTCTTTGGCTTCCAGTGCCTCGTCCAAGGCTCTGGCCATGGACAAAGCTTTGGTCTCCTTCTCTCTGGCCTCAGCTTCAGCACGGTCACGCTCCTCAGCATAACGAGCCGAGATGCTCTTCTCCTCAGCCAGCATCTATCAAGAGAACAGAGTTGTTCTCTATAGTCTTAGCTTAAAACAAAAAATTGTATGTACAACAAACTTGACCTGAAATGCATCCACTGACATGTTCTCACCTGGTCAAACTTCTTCTGTTTCTTCTCCAGGTTGGAGACGATCTGTCTCTGGTGGTCCAAGTCCACAGTTAGATCATCTAGCTCCTGCTGCAGACGAGTCTTGGTCTTCTCCATTTTTTCAAAAGCGATCGTCTTCTCCTCCAGACGCTGGTTGGCCAGTTCCAGGTCCTTCTGCAGCTTCTTCTTCGTCTCCTCCAGACCTTCAATTGTTCCAACATCGTCTTCAAGCTTCTTCTTGCTCTCTGACAGCTGCACCACAGAAAAGAAACTTTAAAGGACAGTCACATTACTTAAACTTTGTTTCCTACAGCAGAAATCATGTCCTACCTGAGCCTGTAAGGTAAACATCTGTTTCTCCAGATTCTTGCGTGCCTCCTCATCCTCCTCCTGCTGCTCCTGCAGAGTGTTTTTCTCCTCTTCCAGCTGGCGAATTCGACTGCTGAGGTTTAGTTTCTGGCGGGTCTCCTCCTGGAGTAGCTCCTAATAACAATGAATATGGATACAGTTATTTTAAAAGAACAGTTTCACTTAAATGATTTTGAGGCTAAAAGAGGACCCGTTACAGCGTGTATATACACTCTCCAGTAATAGAGACTGGAAATGGGCACTGGAAAAGTTATAAGGGTGTGCACCAAGGCCCAGTATAAGACATAGAAACATTTTGTACTTGAATAAGAATAGAAATAGAATAAGAGTAGAAATACTGAGCTGGAAATGAGCATAGGAGGTTCCCTTTAATATCACAGTTAACTTTACGCTACCTGTGTGTCTTGCAGTTGACTCTCTAGCCCAGCGACATCTTTGGCCAACTTGATCCCCTTCCTCTCTGCATCTTCCAGCATGGTAGACACATTGTCCAGCTCAGTCTGTGTGAAGATTTTAAACCAGATTATCTGCTTCGGTCCAACAGATTTGAATACAAAAATGACAAGTGGCGAAACAAAATCTCTGCGAGCTTATTTTTACAGTTTTTCAAGAATCTGTCCTTTAGCAGTCAGTATGTACTATAAACTCATTAAATGAAGCAGCTGTTGTCCAAAGTAAAGACTAAACAGCTACAAAAGAATTCTTACAACGTCGACTTATCGTCAAGAGAAAAGATAAAGAGTCACACAAAGAAATACAACTGAACAGTGAAACAAATGAAGTTACACTACAATGAAAAAGGTTAAAAAAGGTTGGTGGTTCGATCCCTGGCTACTCGAGTCTATATGCCAAAGTATCCTTCGGAGTGTGAATGATAGATAGAAAGCACTATAGAAGAACCAGTTCATTTACTTTAAGCTTATGTACACGAACAAGAGGATTTTACTTCTAGAAGAATCCAGATATTTTTGATAAGCTAGCACATTTAATAAAAATGTGCTTTTCCTCTGCTCTGGTACCTTAAACCAGTTTCACCACCACCACCTCACCTGCAGTTTGTGTGAGCGCTCAGCCAGTTCTCCCTTAGCCCTCTCTCCTTCAGTGACCCTGGCCATGAATTCTTGCAGCTGAGCCTCCAGCTTCTTCCTCTTGTGTTCGGACTCTTGCTTTGCCTGCTGCAGGCTCTTGACCTCGCTGGCCAACTCCTTGTTGGCAGTCTCTTGGCTCTGTTTGGTCTTTTCCAGGTTAGCCTTGAACTACGTATAATCCATAATAAACATTAGTAGTATAAATGACAGAGTAGCACCTATAGTAACTTGTGAATCTGCTGATTGGAAAAAGGTCAGTTACCCTCTTTGCCTGTTCGAGCTGTTCGGACAGCTCTTCTAGGGCTGTGGCATGCCTCTGTCGCATCTCCTGGATCTGAGCCTCGTGGTTTTTAGTCTCCTCCTCAATGGCTTTCTTCAGCTCTGCAACCTCCTGTTCACGCTTGGTCCTACAGAGAACATAACAAGCTCTCCTAAATGCACCACTCTTTAAAATATGGATGAGAAATGTAGCATACAGTACCTAAGCTCCTGCTGGGCTGCAGTTGTGTCGAGGGTGTCCTCCAGTTCAGTCTTCAAGGCCTCAAGCTCTTCACTCAAGTCCCTCTTGAGTTTCTCAGCCTTGTTCCTGGCCTGTTTTTCGGACTCGAGGTCCTCCTGCAGCTCAGACAGCTGCGCCTGCAGCTCCCGAATCTGCTTCAGAGCATTGTTCTTATGGCTGACTTCTTCCTCGCTCCTGAAATCAAAGTATAAAAGTGGCTATAATAAAAAAAACACAATGCCTCTGGAGATATAGGACAACCTCAATGTTCCACTAAAAATAAGCACTAGAAAATTTTTCAGTCATTTCCTCTCTTCTTCCTTCAGCCCGTCTAATTATAAAACAGAAAAACCATTGGTTGAATGTAAGACGGTTTAGACTTTAATAAAAGTAAATGGTAAATGGTCTGTATTTGTATAGCGCTTTACTAGTCCCTAAGGACCCCAAAGCACTTTACATATCCAGTCATCCACCCATTCACACACTGGTGATGGCAAGCTACATTGTAGCCACAGCCACCCTGGGGCGCACTGACAGAGGCGAGGCTGTCGAACACTGGTGCCACCGGGTGAAGTGTCTTGCCCAAGGACACAACGACCGAGACTGTCCAAGCCGGGGCTCAAACCGGCAACCTTCCGATTACAAGGCGAACTCCCAACTCTTGAGCCACGAACTCAATAAGTGCCAGTGCTTATTCAGATTTGCTTCTCCAAAAATGCCGTGCATGTAATGAAACCACTGGTCCAGTGGGTGGCAGCAGAGGCAGGATCACTGTTGATTCTAATTAAAAGAAATGTATGAATGTAGTATGATCTCACACTTATAAATGACCAATAATACCTCACAAATAACAATCGCACACTCCAAACACATTCCAGTGCTGTGAGAGTCACGTAGTAAATATCAGCCGGCGCCGGGTCACCAAGCAGAACAACAAAAAGTGAACTCTAACAATACGAGCACTGTTGTACAACCAGCCTGCAAGTCTAATAAAATGCTCCATATAAAATGGCTAGTGTGAATGTTTCCAGTGCGTTGACTGCTTCGTAATGCTATGCAACACTTATCTCACTCCTGCTCTAATCACTTTAGAATTTCTATGACTCTGAAGCCCATATTTAGCTCAGTCTGTTGAACTGATCAGGACTCATTCTCCTCCGTAGTCGGGCTACCATCTCCTACCTCGCCTGCATCATCTGCTGCTCGTCGTCTTTCTTGCTCAGCTGCATTTTAAGTTCTTCTATCTGGGACTGAAGCTCTGATATCTGGTCCTGAAAGTCGGACGTCTCCCCATCCAGCTTCCTCTTAGCCTTCTCTAGCTCCTGTCGGGTCTTCTCCTCTTTTTTCAGCCTCTCTGATTATAAAACACAATAAAACATCAGTTTAATATAAGACAATTCTTTTAACAACTGTGCTGTAGAAGTGATAGTTTACTATTCTCCGTATGCTATTTTATACTTGTTTACCCTCCAGGTCGACCATCATCATTTCCTGCTTGTTTTTGACCTTGCCCAGGTTCTTGGCCTTCTCTTCCTCTTCAGCTAGCATCGAGGTCACCTCATTGATTCTGTCCTCAAGCAGCTTCTTTTCCTAAACATGAAAAGAGACAGACCCCTTAATGCACAGCTAACTTCCCAACTCAAACATGAATGCGTCCACCCTTTTAGAGGCATCTTCCTCTCACCTTAAGGAACTTGGAGTTCTGGTCCTCCAGCAGCAAAATGTCCTCTTCGTATTTCTTCATTTTAGCTTCAGTCGTCACTTTCTCCAGCTGCAGCTTCTGCCTGGCAGCCTCCTCCTCATCCAACTGTTCTTCCAGGTCCTACGCACAGCAACAAACATAATGAGCAAACATATTTTGCACTGAGTAAGTCAGTTATATTTTAAAATATACTTGTTTTCTTAACATTTCCAGCTGTTACATAAGTAATTGAGAGACAAAGAATCTATTTCTCCCAGCATTAATGCCCTGATACCTGGATATGGGACTGCATCTTTTTCTTCTCGTTCTGCAGCTCTTGGCTCCGCTCTTCTTCTTCCTCCAGCCTGGACTCCAGGTCGTGGAGGATCTCCTCCAGCTCTTGTTTTTTGGAAGCAAGACGAGCTCTCATCTCCTCGGCCTCTGCGAACAGCTCTGTCTCCGCTTGCAGCTGCTCGGCTAAGATGTTCTTCTCTTCCATTAGCTACACATCGATAATGTTACTGTGTCGATTGTGCACCTCAGAGAGTTCAACATTAAAGCGAACATTTGATGTTATTGCTGTAGCTGTAACCAACCTGCTGATGTTTTCTCTCCATCTCCACCAGCTCTCCCTCCACCTTCATCTGCTTCTCCTTCACTTTGACCAGCTCTTCATCCTTAGCCTGCAACTCTTCTTCCTGCCTGGTCACCTGCAGCAGGGGCTTCACCTGTGGGTACAAATGAACAGTAGCAGCAAAACCAGAGGGACTCTGCTTTTGCACAACACTGACTACTACAAACTCTTAATAATTATCAGCACCGAGAAATGAGAGTTACACACCTTAGTGAAGAGTCTCCACCACTGCCAGTGACGCAGCTTTAAGTAAGCGGCACAGTTTCTCTGGAGAACCTTTAGCGCACTGAGCTGCTGTTGTTTCTTAGCGAAGGCCCTGAAGCAAACAGAGAAGAAAAGAGAGACAACAGTGAGATTTTTGTGATCAAATATATAGAAACAACTCTGTTTATACTTACTTGCGTGCCAGATATCCTCGACAAACAGCCTGGAAGTAAATGATGATGTCCGTGATTTTCAGGTCCCTCTCTTCCTCTAAGTGGGCGAGGACTCCGGCCCTGAAGAAGATCTTACTCTGGCCAATTCGGAAAAGGTTGCCATCCAGCTCTAGGGCTTGAATCTATCATTTAGAGGGAGATGAGGTGAAGATGTGGTTGAAATGGAAATAATACTGTTGTCTATTCATAATTTATTTATAATCATTTTAATAACAAGGTGACCTTTACTTCTTAGACTCCTCCATGTAAAGATAAATCACCGGAGTTTGGACGGGTCCTTACCATTCTCTCACAGGCCTGCTTGCCATCCATGAAGCCCTTGGGAATGGCGTTAGGAGTGAGGATCTCATACCTTGTTAAAAAGCAGAAAGAAACAAGCACCATCACTGAGTGACAAAATGTCCTTGCTAATATTATATAAAACAGAATGAAAGACAAGACCGAGTCCTTTGTTTCCCGTCAGGTAGAAGCTGCACACATGAATCCCTTTTTTTAGTTACATCTGTTCAACTTCTCGTTAATACAAATATTTAATCAGCCCAAGAATAATGTGACTTATTTGAGCAGAGGCCTCCACAGTCACCAGATCTCAGTTCAGTAGAGCATCTTTTGGATGTGGTGGAACTGAAGATGCATGTCATGGATGTGCAGCCGACAAATCTGCAGCTGTGCGATACTATCACGTCAATACAGATGTTTCCAGCACCTTGATGAAGAATTAAGGCTGTTCTGAAGACAAAAGGTGCTCCCGCTCATTACTAACAAGCTGTACCTAATAAAATGTCCAGTGAGTGTGTAATTTAACATGTAAATCACACTTTTTATAGCTGTCTGTCTCTCTGTATTAGCCCTGTGACAGAATGGCAACCAGTTCAGCGTGTACCCCACCTCTCACCCAGTGACAGCTGGGATAGACTCCAGCACCCCCAAAACCTTGAACTGGATTAGCGTTTAAGAAAATGCACGGATGGATGGATTCATATATGACAAGTTTAATTCCTAAAAGAGCCTTACACGTTTTTTTTTCCAAAGTAATAAATACATTTAGCTTATTTCAAACCTTAGAAGGAAAACATTAAGGTGACAAACTGAGACATAGATTAAAAATGACCTTTGTCTAAACTCCTGGAAGACGATGCGGTTGGGGAAGCCCTGTCTGCAGATACGGATCCCCTCAAGCACACCATTACACCTCAGCTGGTCCAGAACCAGGTGGGGGTCCAGTTTACCAGCCTGGCAAAGCAGGAAGAGGAAAAATAATGAGATCAACAAAAAACATGAGATCATGAAAAACATTATGTAAAGCTTCTGTATAAATAGCCCTTTAAAAAAAAGTGTTGTTTAATGAGATCTGTTTCCATGACACTGCAGTCAGTGCACGTGTCATCCTCTCAGCCAAAGACATCAGTGCTTCTTGCCTGTACTCACGACGATCAGTGCAAATGTTTCCCATCTCAGTGCAAGCATAAATAAGTGAAGGCATTTAAAATTCCCACAGAATTTGCACATTTGTTTGTAATGACGAACTCAGAATCTACGCTGAAGCAGGACATTTTGCTGATGGTTAGATTTTAGATTTTAAGACTCACCCTTTTTTCATGGTTGGGGATGATGCAGCGGACAAAGTTGGGGTTGGTGTTCCTCAGTGTGGCCATGAGCTTAGACAGTTGCTCCTTGTACAGCTGCCCCACGGTGCGAAACATGCCCTTCTTGGTCTTGTAGGCAGCACCAAACGCTGTCTCATTCATGCCCGCAACCTGGTCCAGTCCCACTATCCGGTCAACTGGTAAAGAAAAATTAGTTAAAGAGGATTACAGATAACTAGATTAAAGGAGGAATCCACAGATGCAGATATGATTGATATGATCTGCTATTTACATGAAAAGAAAAGAGAAAAGCCGGCAATTTTTCTTTGATGTTTATTTTAAATCTAATGTGAATGTTTATCATGAGACGCTGCCAATAATGGCTGACGTGTTAAACTCAGCTGGGTTTGCTCTTTTCTACTTTTATAGTACAGCATGAAGACAGACAACACTGTTACCAGACCAGCTGTGAGCGATGACCATCTCAGTTAGCACACTACTTAATTGTCTTTTACTCTTAAATGCTTTTAAAGCTTTTAATCTAATGGATTTGAGTCCACAAAGCAGGAGTAATGTATTTCAGATGATCTTCTAAACGCCGTACACACATGAAAATATAGTTAAAAAATGGGGGTGTGGTAGAGAATAAGAAAAACTAGGATCGCTATTCCTTTTTTTATGTCGGGTAAGATCTGGATATGAATGTCTTTTATAATTTTCTGCAAATTTTTTCTGTAAATTTGGCCAAAATAAATCAATATGCAATCACATTTCTTGCTCTGGGTGTAGCTCGGTGGTTTAGTAAACCAAAATTTAAATATGTGGTGGCACGCTGATGTCATCTAATAAAAGGAAATTCCATATAATAAACAAAAAGATCAAGGTGCTCATAAATGCTACACAATATTTCTGCTGGATGAATCCCACACACACACACTTCCTTCTGCATAAGAAATTTGCAAAGCAGATTTTTAAGAAACATTTTCTTACATCTGTAGTTACTTACTAGCAGTTTCTGTTCTTCACTCCGCTTTTAGATTAGGCACTATGTGCACATGATCACCAAAGGTTGCATAAAACTTCAGAAACAGACCCCATTTAAACATCTTTATTCACATGTTTACAAACCGTGGTATAAACATCACCAGAGGAATTATCAGTGCTAGAAATCATATTCAAAATGTAAACAAACAAAATGAAACAAAAAAGATTTCGCCACAAATTCATGAATTTTTATAAAACATCACTTTGTTCACAGGATGCTGGCTTACTTGTGGCTGTTTCTTTTTTACCTCTCTCTGCATTTAATCATTAGTTATTATTAATCCTTTTCTCACTTTCTTCGTCACCCACAAGTGGTCACAGCAAATCGCTGCCCCTCCCTGAGCCTGGTTCTGCTGGAAGTTTCTTCCTGTTAAAAGTTAGTTTACCCCTCCCACTGTCGCCGAGCGCTTACTCAAAGGGGGTCGTTGGGTTTGGCGTTTTCTCTTTCTGTGCTATTTCAAAAAAATAATAATAAAACCCTCATGTTGAAGAGCTATTTCTTGTTAGTTTTCATCATATTTGCTTAATGTCTAAGTAAACTAAACACTTTTTGTTAAACAGTAGATTGTTAATCACAGCCTCCTATGAGTAATAAGGATTGACAGGATGTAGTTGTTTTTCCTTTTGAATTGTTGACCCTAATTCTGAATATGCAGCCCATTAATTCAGTGAGCATTTTTTTTTTTTTTTTAAATCCTTCATTTGTACACTAGAGCCTGAATCAACTTTAAAATGCATCCCCCTGATCAGGCACACTCCGATTTAGTGTTTAAGATTTTCACAATTTGTAAAATAAGACTTCACAAATGTATTAAGAGTGGCAGTAAACCACCAGCACCAATAGAAATACGTATGAGAGGTTTTAAAGCCATGCAAAGCTGGAGGAGAACTTTTTGGACAGATGCACGGTGCAGTCATGACAGGACAGGAAACCAATGAGACCGCCAGTGCAGAGCAGGAGAAGCAGCCAGTGGTTTACAAAGGTTAAGTGTTACTATCATTCACCTGGAGCTTCATGGAGCCCAGACACATTGTCATAGAAAGAGGCTCTCTGAAACGTCTGAATGTCTACAGCAACAGAGACACAGACAGAAGACAGGACAGTAAGAGAGAAAAAGAAAGACAGCAAGGATGCAACACACACACACACACACACACACACGCACACGCACACACACACTTTCACAACACTGATTAGCTGTTATTAAAGAAGACAGAAGAGTAAATATCAGTGTTATTACCATGTTATTAAGCTTCTCATTAATCAGATTGTTAATTCCATAAAATCAGAACAACAATGTTAAGGGCCACAGTTAGCACCTGAAAAACTAATAAGGTGTTTACTGGTATAATTGGCAGTTTTAGCACTAAATGTCATTCAGCTCATTCGACTGAACGGAGTGGGCTGTGGTTTAACTCACTTACCCTTAATGTTTCTGCTGGCAAAGCCTTTCCCCTCATTAGTAAAACCATAAAACACACCTCTAGCTCTGAGAGAAAGTGTGAGAGGAGAGGAAGTATACTTCCCTCCATGAAATATGACATTCACTCAGTTATAGCATGTCACATTGGAACTTGTGGTGTGTAATGTCAGTCTGAAATGGTGCAGAGAGCAGGAAAATACATATAAATACACACAGGTGAAGACTCAGTGGGCTTTTTCAGGCCACTACAAACTTCTAAATGACTTACCATCTTTCCAGAGCTCGGCCACAAACTTGTCAGTTGATTGGTGCAACAGCGTGGCTACATTGTCATTCAGAGGATCCATGTTCTTCATAAGCCATTCATCAGCTTTATAGTCCACCTAAGCAAAAACAGTGATCGCCATTGTTTAAGCACAAAAAGTGCTTTCATGTGTTTTTATATGTGCAAAAAACAAAAATCAAAGATGAGAACACCATGAGGGCTGTGACCTCCACCTAAAACCCACACAGGAAAAACAGCATCAAATCAGGCTTTATTTATGCAAATTTGGCTCTAGGCCATTCATTCTCTTTCCTGTCTTTTATCTTATACCCCAGTGTAACTGTATAAATAATAAAAAGAACATGTGTGAAAAATCCACTCTCAGAGGAATGGTTTTCAGGCTCTGATTAACTGCCTCTGCTCTGTTGCTTCACCTGTCTTAAGTGACAGCTAGGTCTGGCGCTGTTTCCAGATACCACGCAGCAGTTGTTTTAACTTACAGGCAGCACCAGATGTGCTGTGTGAGTCTATTTCAAACCACAAACTGATATAATACTGTATATGATGAGATTCACAGTTGGATATTATATTTGACTGGCAGCACAGTGAAGAATCGCGGCGGCACAGTTGGGTTGGATTAAGTGTCTGAAACAGGATAATGACCTGTATGTGTTTTTCAGAAATGTGACATACTACGAACAGTGCTGGACGAGAGTGGAACATAACAAGCAAATTACACGCCCGGCAACCTAACATGAAGAATGTAAGAGCCGCATATGGGTTTAATCAAAGTCCAGGAAAAGCAAACTTGCTATGTTTGTACTTATTTTCCTCTTCGGTATCACTCTGTCACAGAGGATTTGTTTGCCCAAGTTCAGATTTAGTGTTGGATCCAGTTTTGTGAGCTGGATGTGAAATATTTATCTGAATCACCCGTTTCTCATACGGACTAATGTTAAACTGACTGGTGGTCTTCAATGAGCTTGTAAAAATATGTGCAATTCAGAAAAAGAAGCAGGTAAATAGTATTCAACACATCAGGGTAGCTGTGATATCAGATGTCAAGCGCCCCCTTTGGAATGCCGCGGAGGATCATTTTTTCCGTACAGATGGCAGAATACCACACAAAGGTGAAAGTTCACATCTCAGTTATGCAACCGCAAGGCATCAGGCACTCAATCTCACACCAATGTGAACCAGATGTGGGGTTCCAACAGCAGCGGCAGCAGCATAACAACAGCGCTATTGTTTTAACGCAATGACCTGGTTAAACTACGCAACCACAAGTCTGTGCCACAGAGAAAAGCAGCAAAGTCGTTGGACAAGGAATGCACAGAGCTCCCAGAAGGATTTAAAGCTATAAAGGAAACAAAGATAATTGCTTTCGTTTTGATTTTTGTCTTCCAAGCCTGATATACGTACCCTTCCTGCATAGTGGATGATGCAGAAGTCAGCTTTGTCTTTGAGTTGACGTGGCTTCTGAAACTTGCTATGTGTGCCCAGCTCCTGCAGCACTTTGTCTACAAACGTCTTGTCAGTGGCCTTGGGAAACCAGCACTCCTCATCCAGCAGGGCGAGAATGCCAGGGGGGTTATTCTGAGGAGATATATTTAGCGAATAACCGTGTATTTAAAAGCAGACACGTATACACACTGTCATACATGCACACAAGCACACTGACCGGTCTCTCGATGAGGTCGATGCAGGGCTGCAGGTCGAGGCCGAAGTCGATGAAGCTCCACTCGATGCCCTCCCTCTGGTACTCCTCTTGCTCCAGGATGAACATGGTGTGGTTGAAGAGCTGCTGCAGCTTCTCGTTGGTGTAGTTGATGCACAGCTGCTCAAATGAGTTCAGCTGGTAGGAAAGTGAATAGCAGAAGGAAATCTTTGGCATATTTTTTTTTACATGTGATTTATCCTTTCGCTGGATCATCTGTCCTGTCTGTTTTTATACTCTTACAAGGGAACAAAACTACATCTGCCAGACGTCACTTTGTATGTTGTAGAAAAGCATCTGTCACTATTAAAAGCACCACGAGCACCTCAAAGATCTCAAAGCCAGCAATGTCCAGGATGCCAATGAAGGACGCCCCCTGCCGTTTGGTCCTATCCAGCGCCTTGTTGATGCGATGGACCAGCCAGCGGAACAGCCGCTCATACGTCGCCTTAGCCAAGGCTTCAACAGCAAAGTCAGCCTGAGGTAAAACAAAGAGAGCAGAAAAGTGTGGAGAGCAACATGAATTATACATGAGACACACACAGACTCGTGTTGTTGTTTTAGTCTGGAGTGTTGGAGCATGACGTCAAACAGTGGGCCACAATTAGGACAATCCATTAGCCAGCTGGTGGACCAGTTCAAACATATGGTTTGAGTTTGCAAAAATGAAGTGTACCCTTAAGCACTCTGGAAATTAACCTTTTCAGCTGCAAACAAAAAGACAAAAACGGAATACAAACATAGCTATTATAAAACATTTAGTTTATTAAGTTCTTATAAAAACAATTTAAAATTCAACTAAACTGATTACTGATTTGGATTTTTTGTAATCGGGAATCTAAAACGTTTCCAGACTTTGGTTTCCAGCTCTGAGGATTTTAACAATGCTGCTCGTGCAATAAAAACTACTTGAAAAGTTTGAGATTTAAAACATTTTTAAGAAAATCTGTCATGATTTCCTGACATTCAATTAAATAATGAGAAGATTTGCTTAATTATTCTCACAGTTTTACACTAATCTTCTGGGAAGATGCAACGGTCCGCTTGGGACAAAGTGACAAAAATGTCATCAGAGGTTAAACGTGAAGCTTTGTTGGATGTCTGCATCTTCTCCATTTTGCTTTGGTCTGGTGATCTAGCCCAGCGGTCCCCAACCTTTTTTGCGCCACGGACCGGTTTGTGCCCGACAATATTTTCACGGACCGGCCTTTAAGGTGTCGCTGATAAATACAACAAAATAAAACTAGTACTAGTACTGAAAAAAAGAAGATTTATTCATAACACACGTGAAAAGACCCAGGAAAACAGAGTTAACGATAAAGACGATAACAAAATAACGCTGAAAACCGATAAAAACCCTGAAAACCAGACATTTCACACCTGAGCCTCAACTCTTGCGGCCCGGTACCAAACAACTCACGGACCGGTACCGGTCCGAGACCCGGGGGTTGGGGACCGCTGATCTAGTCCATACACTACAAGGCTAGAACTACAAATATATCCTCCAGGTGGACTTCCTGGTAGGCTAGTACAACCTGGCCATAGATGGCACCTTACCTGTTCTTTGGTCTGTGCCTTCTGCACATAGTCTCGCCCCACTTTGATCCTCGGGGTGAGGATAGCTCTGGTAAACTCCATAACATTCATTCCAAGCAGGTGGCAGAGCTTCTGTGCCGCTGGGAGAAGTAGGGAAAACAAACCATGCCACTAATTTATATACAACAGAAATCAAATCATAAAGAATACAGTGAAAGTTTTATTTTTACATAAACCTGCTGTATTTAAAAGCTTTTTAAAATCAGAAACTGTGAGAAGAGTTATGTTTGTTTATTTCGACTGGATGTCGTTTACCTGTATTCTCAGGCATTGAAGCTTGATCGGTGTTTCTCTCCTTTTTAAAAACAATGTTTCCAAACTGCAGCACTGCAGAGACCACCTTCAACATGCCTGACAAAAACAGGAGGAGATAAAAACCTTACTGAGTGCCAGACAATGCCTGAGGAAAAGCAGTGTCTGAGGAACCTGGATTTCCAAAGGAATGGAGCACAGATGGAACTATAACTCACAGACAATCTCGTCATGGGAGAAACTCATGATGTGCATGGCCTCCATCGTCTCCTGGAAATTCTCCTTGTCCTGCTGGCCCGGAATGGGAATGTTACCATTTGACAGGAAACGGTAGTTGTTAAAGCCTTCGAGGAGCAGATCCGCTAAAGAAGGAAAGGAAAAAAGAGATGTTCTTTATACCGTAGAACATATTTTCTTTATACGCCACTGTTCTATCAAAATTTTAAACGAATATCCTCATATGTGGCTCTCATTTTTCTTAAAAACAAAAATAAGGTAAAAACAAAATCTGGTAATTCTTTGTTTTTACATTAATTGGGCCCCAATATGCCCAAATATCAAAGAGAAATCAAAAATGCATGCTCTGGAAGAGTTCGGGTCTTAGGAGGTTAAATTATGATGATGGTAAAAGCAACTTTAATTGTTTTTTCTGGAGTTTGGAGGGCTCTGGAGCAGTGAGCGTGTTGGGGCTGGACTTAAGGTGATTAAAAACATCTATGTGCTCCTTTCTGAATATTAATGATCAGTGGGTATCTGCTTAATTTTGCACAATAGGCATTTGTTGGTGTTTTACTGTGTACATCTAAAATGCATCTGCAGAACTCTGCAAATTCTATTGGATGGTGATCCAGGGCAGGATGATGCTATCAAACATTTCATCTCTTTCCACCATAAACACATGTGATGACCTCCACTCTACACTTAATGGCAAGTTTTGAAGCTTTGGTATTAGAATAGTTTCCGTGTTTTTCCAAGAGTAGCTGCGTGGGCATCTTCGTTAACTTCTGATACCCAGTCATTCTGTTATATAAGCAGGCGTAAAATATGACAGAAGCTCTCAGTTCAGAAAAGAGCTTCAAGGGTTACTCATAGTTGGCTTTCAAGCGGAAAAGAGTTAAACAAGATTTTACTTGGAATTTGAAAGTTCTAACATTTGTCTCAGATGTTTTATTTTTATGACATTCACTAATATCTTGAGCTTCCTAATGCTCTTATTGCAGTATCAAGGCAGGTACAGCTTATCCTGTGTTAAGTGATTTGATTATTTATGGTGAATCTGTTTATATTAGTTTTTTAAATATTTACTGCGAGGTCCCAGTTCTGACACAATTTATGTGTCCGACTGTGGCTGTAATCTTTGTTCAGTAGGAGACAGAAGAACAAGGCGATCAGAATAAAAGAAAGATTTCATCTCTTAATCTAAGGGGGAAAAGCCAGGAACAGCACAATGATCCAGCTGAATAGCAAGTTCATTTGTATACATATAAATATATATTAAATGAAGTCAGACTTAGAATGAAACTCTGACAAACTCCTTGTTTTTCTACAATTTTAACAGCATGCCAATTAAATCAGTTCACTCTCACTGCCCGTGCTTTGAAAGCAGTGCACAGACACTCACTTCGAAGATGCTCTCCAGCCCCTGCCAGCAGCCGATAGAAAATGTGAAAGGTCCTCTCATCTTTGGCCTGTCTAATCGCTCTTGACTTCTCCAGAAGATCTGAGAACATACGTTAAGTCCTGACAAGGAAATCACAAAACTAAAATATGACTCTGTGGTCCCACTAATGAGGAAGCTCCTGTTTTGCCACATGCAGTTTGACTGGAAAGGTTTACCTCTTACAATTTTTGGTAATCCTTTGTTTCCAGTGGAGGCCTATGAATAAGTTGGGAAACTATCTTTAACTTTTTTTTGTGTTAGAACACACAAATTTCACCTAAAAAATTTGACTTGTGTATTTGATTTCTCACCGTGAATAACAACACATAAAAATGAGGAGTAACAATAACAGTGTTGCTTCTCTATAGCTCAGTGTCCTTGTGTTTATTCTGGGAAATTACATTCTTGTGGCTAAGCCCAAGCTCTGGTGATACATACAACCTTCACTGCTCTCTTATCCCAGTGAGCATCCTCTCCTTTAGCCCTGCTCTGTGTCGTTTTATTTTTAAACATTGATTTATGCCTTTGCTTCTTTAGTCCTTGCAAATAATAAGGATACAGGTTTCAATATTGGCCCCAACAATGTAGCCTGTGACGTCAAAGTTGATTCTGATGAACTTTCCCTGCAAGAAACAAAACACTGTTAAGAGAAATTAAGACATTTGTTGAACTCCGCAGATAATCACGAAGCCTGTGATGCATGAGTGTTTATACGTTATTATGTATATGTGTATTTGCAGCTGTCCTCTCTTTATTTTTTCTCCCTCTGGGCACAGCTGCGTTTTAAGTACCACCTTGTAGGTCCTTGCAGATGACAGAAATGTGGTGAAGAACAAAATGTCTATATTAGGAAATACCAGGTTGACAGGTCAGAAAGAATCTCAGGCATGTGTGCGGTTTCCTGACAGTGATTGTGAGCAAGCGTGCATGAATATTTGTGCCCATCTGTCTTCTGGTATTCACTGCTCTGCATCCCAGACAGAGGGTGATTCACGAGGACCCAGGCTCCATAGTGGTTAATCTTGACCACATGGTTTACTTAGTCACAAAAAAATGTCAAATGTTTAGAGTGAAAATTGTTGCGATTACTGTAACTCATCTCAACATGATCTGAAATAAGCGAATATTAGAAGCATGACATCAGTCCACTTACGAAACAACCTTTTTATTTTTATAAAATCTTCCAAAGTTGCATTAGTCAAACCAAAAAGCCCCAAAAATGTATTGAACAGTTTTGTGCGTTGGATTAGAAGACCGGGACTGCTCTCATCTAGATGGGGGAATATGAAGAAAACTTTGCAGTACTCTGCAAAGGTAAGAATATTCCACCCACCATGCCCGTCAAAATCTCACAAAAACCTCATTCAGAAATGCACCCCTCCCATTTAACCTGACAGAGCCTGAACATGTGTGAATGTGCTCTTTGGTAAATTTTCTGAACAATCTGGATCTAGTAATGTTTACATATTGCTTTCAACACAGTACAAGTCTGTAAAGTCACTGGACCTTTATATACTGTCAAATTGAGAAGCAGTACAGTATTGTGCAAAAGTCTTAAGCCAGAATGTGTAAAATTCTAGCAATATGCAGAGTCAGTTTTGGCATGACTACATTTATTCTTCAACACAACCTCAACTCTCTTAGGCAGCTTCTTTGTAATTTCTATTGCCGTAATTTACTCCTGAAGTTTCAGGAACAGTTCTGCAGGCTTCTTGACTGACATTTAAAGCTCTTGTTGACTAATACAGTTACATTTTGTCTTTTTCTATCCAAGTATGCTTTTACTGCATTGGCACTGTGTTTGTGTTTGTCATGCTGAAAAATAAAGCCAGTGCCACTTTCCAGACGGTACTGCATGGTGAAACAAAATCCCCAAACCACAACAGAGCCTCCACTGTGCTTTACAGATGGCTACACACACTCACTGATGTACTTCTCCCTTCACCTCCTCTGTACATGCTGATGGCATTTTTAACCAAAAGCTGCTGTTAGTATCAAAGTGCCTAAAGATATAATTTGAAATTGTGCAGACTCAACATTGGCTCATCCCACGTGGAGTTAGGTGACTCTTTTATGCTTGAATGATTTACAGGTGAGCGTTAAGTAGCTCAGCAAACAAAAACATTCCTCCTAAATGATCAGGTACAAGGACTGGACTGAAGTCAATGTCAAAAGAAAAACTTTGAAAGACCGTTAGAAAGCCCAGAGAACTATTGCTTGAGACCACTTAGTTGAAGCAAAATAAAAATAAATGACTCAAAATGTTTGCAAAGTGCTGTAACTGATTGAATGAGTACTGTGGCTTGTTCTGACAATCCTGCAGAAATGTTTAAATGACGTCTTGAGGAACACTCATGACCGAGAGTATGTCGGAAAGACCAGAAATGGTTAGTTTTACCTCCAAATAAGAGCAATTTATCTCAGGGGGGGAAAAAGGAAGATTCAAATGTTTGATGTTTTTGCATGAAACATTTTGAATAGATTCTGTAACTAAATATATGTCAAACCTAGAGTGGGATCAAACATTGCATGCTGAAGCTGTTTAACATGAAGACACAATGTTTTTATAACCTCATAACAGACTCAATGTTTTTCCCTTCTGGATATCTGTTCTTGCTCATGTGTTTAAATCTGGAAAATGATCATTTAAACAAGAAATGTGAACTCACAAAGCGAGATGAGTTGTCATTTTTCACTGTCTTGGCATTGCCAAAAGATTCAAGGATGGGGTTGGCTTGCAGGAGCTGGCGTTCCAACTCACCCTGTGGAGAAAGAAAGGGAGGTAAGCCAACTAGCTGTCAAACGTGTGCATTATGCAACTGAATATTTTCTTGTTATCGCTATTTTTTGTGTCTTCCAAAATATCCACAAATTGGCAAGGCAAAATCAAATCTTCTCGAAAAGCAGAGAGAGAAAATGTAGCAAAGTCAATATGCTAAACCAGTCTTTAGACAACCAAGTCCACTCACAAGCTCTTTACCATGACTCTGCTGGCTTTACTTTAGTCAATTGCAGTACAATGTGAATTTTCTCTGGGGAACTCGAAAGGATTTTAGGGGGCCAAAACAACCAAACGGTTTTAGAGAACTTGTGAAACCACAAAGGCACTACAGAGACGGTGTTTCGTCACATTTCCCAAAGTGAGTGATTAGCTTGGGTTGATGAATGAGATGCTTCCTCCGGCCTTCGCATTCCTCTCGTTGTTATAATATACCCTGTAACGTATGTCTGAAAAGTCTGCCAACACTGTGATAATGATGGCTTCCTCTCAGTTTTGGAAAAAGACATTCCTATGAAACCTTTTACTCCCGGAGAAATGAGATAACCTCCTATATCCAGGGCATGACAGTCCAAAAATAGCCTCTACTGCAAATCAGAGAGTTGTTCAAATCTACTGAGGATATTCCTCTGGACTTTGATAACTCATGGGGAACAGATTAAGTTATGCCTTAACTCTAATTTGCTGCCAAGCTGGCTCTTGTTGTAAGCTGGTCAGTAATGGCCTATAATGGCATATAAAGAAAATATGGGTCCACCTGTAGCCATCTTTTTTCTTAAACTGAAGTTATTCTGCTTATTTCAAGAGCCATAATTTCATTCTTGGACTCTAGTAGAGTAGCTTTTCTGTTTTACTTTGTCTACCAAACATGATTTCTAGCAAACCACATTCACTAAATTCAACAGACATCCAACCTGGCCTCTCTCCCCTTTCCATGAGGTCTTGGAACGACATGGATTTTTGCCAGCCAATCAGCAATCAGGCTATGTTACAGATCGTGACTTTAAGGAATCTAAGAGCCCAGCCTAAACCATAACCTCATAGTAAGTGCACTGAAGTTGATTTTTGACATAAAAATGAAAAGTTTTGAAAAAGAAAATCACAAAAAAGAAGGAAAAAAGAACCTCAAACTCATATCTTACAATTAATTAATAAAATTTAGAATTTTCAACTAATTGAATTTATAATTAAATTAATTTTTGACCAATTATTTCAAATAATTTAATTTAATTTTTAATGAAGCCAACTGGGTGGGACTTCTGCGCTCACAGCTAGAGCCGTGTGCCTGAGATGACCAAATTCGGGACATCCCAGCTCCGTGACATCATAGAGAGCCCGGTGTTTGAAAAAAGTGAATAAAACCAAGAGCAGTCAGACGCCTGAGCCTTTAGCTCAAAGCCATTACTTATGAAATTGCTGACCTCATTAGAAACTATGACCATTCACCACTTGAGCAATCTACTGAAAACAAGGACAAGCACAGTAGGTCTATAGAAAAATGAAACCGACGCAAAGAGAGACAACAGGGAGCCAGCAGCTTACTGTTTAAAGGCGGATACCACATAACTTTAACAGGCACGGCTTGACTCATGACCCATGTTCACTTGCCGCATGTCTCTCCTCATTTCCTGTCTGCATCTTAGCGACATTACCTAATTTAAACAAAATGCCCCACAAAGATATTTCAAAGACAAAGAGGTAATAGTACTTTATCTTATAGCACGGATGGAGGAAGCAAAGAGTAAAACAGAACAAATAAGGTAAATCAAAAAAGATCTGAGCTGGGTAACTGAACAAGAGCAACCTGATCCTCTATCCTATATTCCACAAAAAGCAGTCTCAGTGTTGCAAAAATTATGAGCAGAATGAGACTAATAAGTCAAAATGTGAAAAAAAAAAAGCATTTCTAGCGGACCATCTTTTAAGCTTGTCGCTCCATATGATACCAAAAAGGAGAAAAAAGGTTTATGAACAAAAGTACTGAGCTCGAGTAGAGTTAACACTAAAGTTTAAACCCTCTGAGCAGACATATGGGCGACACATGGAAATATAATATGTGCAAAAATATACAAATATTATGAACTGCTTGAATCTTCATATGCCGCTTCAGTATGCGTGTGCAGTCTGCTACATATGTCTGCCTAATGAGCTGTCTGGAACCGTTCTCCATTCAAGTATCCTGACAGGCATGAGGTTCACTGAGAAAAGCTGGGAGTAACTGATTCCAACCAGTACATACATCCGTCTACAAATGGCATTTCCATTCATATTTCTTACAGAGAGAATTCATATAGTCTCCTCCCTTCAGGTCTGCTTTACCTCTTCACCACCTCCATCTTCACTCCTCTCACAGTCTCCTCTCCTGCTTCATATTTTTGCTCCCCCTCAATCCCTGGCTCTACATTCCTGCGCTCAGAGGTCACTCTAATGCAACGCAGCGGTAAAGCGGCATTAAGGAGGTAAGCGTGGATGGTGTACACTGGCAAGGGAGCACTGAGGCACTTAGTTACAGCTACTCACTCTCTGCGACTGAAAGTATATTAAACAGGCATTTACTCAGATTGCCTTTGCACAAGCGGGTTATTGGACTTCTACGAGGGCCTCTTTTTCTACAGTTATTAGATTTTCTGAAGACAAAGAAACATCAGATATTGGTTTAGGGGGAAAGATAAATAGCTACCAAATAAATCAACCAGAGACAAGGAGAGCCAGAAAATAGTTTTGGAGAAACCACAACAAACAGAAGATGGAATTTGGGAGTTTTCTGTACTTTTCAAACTTATCTGTGACTTAATATTTGAAAATCCATGTGAGGCTGTAACATTCAATCACAACAGTGATCATGCTATTTAAACTACAAACATGCATCAAGGAACGAACGAAAGGAAAACATGCAGAAATATATATATGCAACATTTACACATTGATATTTGAAATAAAAACATTTGCTCTCACAAAATATGAAAGACGAAGTTTGAGGAGAGATGTTTAGTGTGGCCGTCATCTGATTTTCACACCGCTCTTTGTGAATAAGAACACAAAACTGTGCCAGAAAGGGTTCATTTAAGCTCCCGTAGCGCTCAATGAACAGCTTTAACAACAGGTATTTGACTGACATATGTTTCTAATAAGACCTCTCAGTTTTCCTCAGTTCTAATAAACCCAAACCAACTGATAAAACAAAGCGTTTAATATCGTGAGCCTGCACGCCGGCGGACAGATTCACTTGGTTTCAAATAATCATGTGAAAACACCGAGCCAGCACAAACAAATACCTCATAAAGAAAGAAGCTTAGATTAGTCCGTCATCATCATTACAGAAGTAGCAGAGATTTAGAGAGAAGGGCATGCAAATATACACAAACATAGACAAAACGGACGGCACACTGTTTTTGGAAAAAGCTGGAGATACACTTGCCTGTAGTTTGAATGCTTTGGGAGAATCGGGCTGTTTGTTATGGATAAACAAATACAAGTGTTAAAACCTGAAGCTCTTATGTCAGACAAAAGCCATGAGAAAGAGAACACCAGTGCAAACTTAGCCCAACGCTCGAGCAAGAGCTAACATTTTAGGTTAACTTTTACTGAGGTAGGCACTTTAGGATTAGGTAGAACACAACAGCATTAAAAAAGTTTACTTTACAGCTGAGCGCTAAGCTAGTTTCATGTCTCCTGAAGCTAGCTTAGCTTCTTGAACAAGAAAACAGTTAGCTTAGCATTGGCTAAAGCTAAAACAAATGGCTAGTCACACTAGAGTAAAAACAGGATAGCAATCTGTGTTGACAACTGCATTACATTTTTTCACATTCGACAACTAAATGCAAGAAGATATGGCAACCAAAGTTGACTGCTAGGTGACTGCATTTGTCGTCTGGTGGGAGGCAACATGTCTCCAACACATTACAATCAATCTGAGTCAGTAGTTGCAGAAACTGCAACTTGCTTCTTTGCTTTAGAGGACTAGACTCAGCTGGTTGCAAACTGGTTGTACTCCAACAGAAAAGAAAGGTTGTTGAGTATGTTTGTCATTTTGCAATTAAAGCACCATCCTGCAGCAACTATGTCACTATTTGTGGAGGAATTTCTGAGATTCACATCTATGATGTTGTGCCCAGATTCTGAATGCAAATAGCGAGAATTTCTGTCTATGTACACTACCACTTAATTTTTTGCCAATTTACCACTGACTGTTAATTACTGTGTATTATCACAAACAGATTTCCTGTAATTGCTAAATCCACACCCAGTTAACATAAACTGACGGCAGGGTGCTTTATTGCCATCTTATTGCTGCTTTATTGCTGTATTGATCCACCAAAGTAACTTTTTATACAGCAGCTGACTGTACATGTTCACCCCCCAGTGCCCTACATTGAAGCAACCATTTCAAAGGCAGTGAGATCACAAATTTCATTGCACCCAGACACAATTACTTTGGTGCCGCGGTCTCCACTGTTTTCTCTAGTGTGACTGTACCCCACAAATGAACTACTCAGGTGTGTTAATCCACGCAGAAACCACAATATAATGACTTTTCACCTTTTTATGGAGCATTACATGCTAGACTATCATTTGCCTCTGAGTAGAAACCAGCAGAGGTTCATGCAGGTTGGTGGTAACAGCCAAGAAAAGTGTTACACATAAATAACTCAATTACACTTTAGTTTTTGCATGGATTAAATAAATGAGAGTCAGGCTGTTGCCGTTTCCTGATTTGTGCCAAGCTAAACTAATGGGTTGTAAGATAAAATCACTGTATGACAGAAATCAACCTTCTCAAGCTTTCTGACATTTTTTAAAACACAGCAATAATACTTAGAAATAATTCACACAGTGATAAAGCCAGCCAGTTTTTCAATGAAATATGAATTTTAGAGGAGATGGGGCCATGTTTAGTGTAGGAGAAACGTAGGCAGCACGGCTCTCACAGGAATGTTGTGATCTTTGCGTCCTTTGTGTGAGGAGGCAACGTGGGCCAGGTACTGGATGACCTTCTTCGTGTTCTCTGTCTTGCCAGCGCCTGATTCACCTCTGAAAAGAAAGAGTAAAGACAAATACACATGAATAGAGTGAGAAAATGTGAGCCAATACATGACAAGGGAGAAACAAACAGGTTTTGTTTCTGACCTGAATTACAAGGTTTCCCTTGTGAAGCACAGCCACATAACAGGAAATATTATGTATGAGTTGTCCACAGTTTACCAAGGTACAGAAAAAACAACCCTAAAACCTTAACCAAGATAACTTTCACTCATCGTTATTGTGGTTAAGAGTGATTGGATGAACTCCAAGGACACAATTAATAGAAACAAAAAAGAAAACAGAGAGAGTGACTAAACATCAGGCTATCTTGTTGTTTTTGTAAAAATCAATCCATTTGTTTGTCAGTCTGTTTTGCTAGAGAACCCTGTGGTTTGGAGAGCCAGGCTCCAAAGTTTCCAGACCCCACTTTTGGGCTGTCCTTAATGATAGCTGTGTTCAGGCACGGCCATCCGCAACTCCCACAGTCGGGTCCTGGAGCTCAGAAAACCAGGGCCAGCAGTGAAAAGAAGCCAGTGACACTACATCCATCTACATACCAGTGGCTTTAGTCTAACTCACTATTAGCTGTGCACTGCAGTTTTAGCTGCAACACTAGAACTGCACGGGCGAGTCCTCGAGTGCAGTGTACGAACATAGGAATATAGGTCAAACAGGTACTCATCCAAGTGTGGTTTGATGTCTTCATTGTTTTACTATGAAGACATGAATCCTCTTTGAATAAGTCTCCCAGAAATCATTCATTGGTTTTCTCGTATATTCTCTCTTTCGCCAAGCATGTGGTTTAAAAGACCTTTGACTTTGGGAACTATTTTTATGTCTAGCCTCTCCTTTTCTCACAGATCTCAGTGCTAGAGAGTCGAACTAGATTCTGAAAACTTAAATGAGAGATTCTTCAAGGTCTCAGTCTTCCTGGATATTCCCTCTCCTGTCCTATGATATGTACCATATGGACATTTTGTAACACAGTGGCTTTTGAATTGGCGCTACCTAAAGATGAATCCAATTAAAAGAACATTTCTGTGGCTTGTTTTCATGCAGTTAGACCCTACTTTTACAGTCAACTCCAATGACTGGAAAACATCATACATAGTTAATGCATGGTTTCTTGCCACATTTGACCATTTATACAACACTATGCATCATTACATACCAGACGCTGACTGCTCACACAAGGCCTGGATCTCTAAATGTTATTCTAAACTATGCACTATATAATTCTGTGCTATGCACTGTTATGCTTAATGGCATGGTGGCCTTTCAACTGGATCAAAGTGATCTATATTACAACAGAGCTGCATAAATGTAGGTCATAAGCAACCTTTTTCATCTGTGTTTCTTCAGGAGTAATTTTCCTTAGAGCAGGATGGGGAAGAGATGTTTCTCTAAACTGGCTGACCATCTAAACCGCAGGTGTCGAACTCCAGGCCTTGAGGGCCGGTGTCCTGCAGGTTTTCGATGTGTCCTTGATCCAACACAGCTGATTTAAATGGCTAAAATACCTCCTCAACATGTCTTGAAGTTCTCCAGAAGCCTGGTAATGAACTAATCATTTGATTCAGGTGTGTTGACCGAGGGGGAGATCTAAAACCTGCAGGACACCGGCCCTCGAGGCCTGGAGTTCGACACCTGATCTAAACTGTGGGGCTAAACTCTTAAAAGGGCGCCTTTTCCCCAACAGGGGGTGCAGTTTTCTGAATTTAGGGCATATTATTGCAACTGCTTCTCATCTGTTCATTGGCAGCATCAAACCCCAAGAAAGACAGTGGCACTTAATTACCCTCTGCCAAAGAAGATGAAGGCCGGCCACCAAACCACACTCATAACTCCCTCGGTATTGGGTAGAGCCGCTGTAAAAGCCCAGCATCCGCAAAAAGCTATTTGAAACCAACTTTTAAATAGAACATGGCAGGATAAAGGGAGCTGGCCAAATGACTCAGGACGAGAGGAAGATAAAAAGACACGGGGAAAAAAATACTATAAATAATCCTTGTAAAGTACTCATAACTATAAAAGATACTTATATTTAAAGGCATTTCAAGGACAAGCGGTCTTTATATAATGTAACTCTATTAAGGTGAAGCGATATAATCCTTGTCTTGAGACAGTTTCATTTTCCAGTCCATCAAGCTGGTTGATCTCTAGAACCACCTTAAAGACCAGTTCAACCATCTGCCCTAAGAAAGAAATTAAGACAAAAGTAGAAAAGAGAAGTTAAGAGTTGCAGTACTCACGTGCAAAGAATTGATTGGTCCTCACGGTCTGTTCAGAGAAAACAGAAAAAGAAAGAAAGCATCTCTTGTTTAGTCATTCATTTTGACTTACAGAGATAGCATTCAATGGCTAAGCTGTCACATACAATGGAACATAACAGTTTAATAGTTTTCACCAGGCTAATACTGGAGCTGTGAGTACATACACGTACATAAACACAGCTTGCATTTTCCTGAGAATTTCCTGAGAATAACAGGAGAAACATACTGCTCCGTGAACACTGAAGTTTATAAAGGAGGTGTGTTAGGAATGCATTTTTCACCACAGCCAGCAGGGAACTGACATGCTTATCATCAAACAGAAACTCTGGGCTAATTTAGAGACTTAAAAATATGTTTGAAAATACGACATGTTTGGTAATATGGCAGGTTTAATCTTCCAGATGACCAGGCAGCAAATCCAGACTTTTTTAATATAATCTTGTGAAGAGATTTAAAATGTTTAAGAGATGTTAACTAATACTAACAATTAACCCTACAATACCCTTTGTATCATATTTGATACATGAGTTTTTGAGACCTCTATCTCATCAACATGATCAATATTTGCCATGATTTCAAAATGTTATGGACAAAACGCTGCCTAAAATTAACATTGTTGTTAAAAAAGAAGTTACCAAAAATGTATCAAATGTGATAGAAAAACATATAATAAATATATCAAACACAACATTATACAGCAAAAAAAGCAGATTTTGTTATAAGGGTTAATAAAAATCTCATTTGATAGGTTGGGTCTTACAGGGTTACTCATGTTTTTTCAGATATTTTTTCAATTTTCTGACATTTAAGTCATAACCTAACCCTAAACCTAAGCAATGAGTATATGTTATCTTTATATACATTAACTTGTTCTCCCAAGTCTTGACAAAGTCAGAAGTTTTTGCCTTTCTCCAAAATACAATTTTTAAAACAACTGAATTTATTGTGAACCTTTCATAGTGTCAAAAACTAAAATGCTTTAGTGAACTACAGAAGCTGAATCTATTTAAACTCAAAACTGATGCACGTTGTATTATTTTTAGCCATTTCACCTAGTTTAAATAATTGCTTTAGGTATCTAATGTATGTAATGTATCTACTTGAAACATTTATCAGTTTCATAGCATACTACACTTTCTAGGAATCTTCCCTGAGGTTTTGTAAGCTACAGACACCTGGTTTGGTGAAACTGAGGCCTTCGTGACTACAGGCCAAGAAGCATACTTCATCTCAAGGGACTGAGAACAAGAAATGATGAGAAAAGAACTTCAAAAACCGCAGTCATCTCTGAAGAAACAAACAATTTGCAGTTAAAAAATATTTTTCTTGTTGTTTTAAAATGATAGCAAACCATAATTTTTCCTGACACTTATTTAGAGCCTCAAGTACAACTTCAAATATACAAAGATCACTCACCATTCCATGTACTAGTTCACACGAGAGCAGCCACTTAATAAAAACCATGCTCTCCAAGTAGCTGTTTACTGTGACTAATACCTGCAGTCATAACCTAAAACTAAACCTAAAACCATCTGCTTGTGTACCATGTGAAGAATGAAGCCTGACATCATCGCTTTGCCCTTTAGGAGACAGAAAACACAGAAGAAATTACCTCATCACATGTGCCTATGACAAAGGCCAGGGGGTAAAAACGTGCATTGAGCTGGGGAGCAGCTGCAGCATAAGGGTGAATGCCTTACTGCTAACAAAATATCTATAACACACATTTAATGATGACACGGGGACAAAACATGTTATTTTATTCTTATTTATTGTTTTGACATATGACTTGATCAAGGAAGCATCTGAATAAATTGTGTTTTTAAAAGTGAAACTGAAAGGAACGTATCACAACTACAAATCAGTGCTGGGGAAACAGCAGCAGGTTTACTGTTAGACATCACAGAGGGTCTGTTTTGCTGTGGCTACATTAGATGCTTGCAGGTAAAGTCCTGTTTTTCTCACATGTTTAAAGTACTCTTGTTGAGTGGTTCTTTTTTATGTGTGAATAAAGCTGGTTCACAAAAACATGGCGATTAACTAAAAGCTCTAATGGATAATTACAGTGGTCTCTCTAAAAGCCATCCGCTCCGCAGAGATGATAGTTCAGCTTAAAGGACTTGGCACAGAAATTTACTCACACCTTGTTGACATGGCTCAGTTTTCACAGGTGGCTCAAACAGTCTTTAAGGTGTTATATTTCCCTAGAGAAATGTCCTTTTGTTGTGTACTAAAGCGGAAACTTCCTTTAAGTGACAAAAAGCAGGTGACAAATGAGTTTGTGCGAGTGTGTTCATGTGAAAACATTAAAAGGGATTCTCTTTTCTCTCCACGGAAAATCAGCTTTGTTTGATTAAAAAAAAAAGAATCACGGATGTAAATGTAGGGCAGATAAGATGCAACACAAAGATTCAAGCCTAATGTATGCAAATATAACTGGCATCATTTCCCCTGACAATCAGGCTGCCTTGAGGCGACTTTTGTTGTGATTTGGCGCTATATAAATAAAATTGAATTGAATTGAATTTAAACTCGGTTCAAAGTTTGATAACTCATCCTGCCTGTGTTTTATAGTCTGAGACCTGATGCTCATCTGATTTACCCAATATTGGTTTAAACAGGCCCAAAAGTCCCATCGGACACTCACGCAACAGCACGTAACCCCTCATGAAAATTAAAACCAAACATATACTAACTACACAGCTTCTGAACAACATCAGGTGTTTACAGGTTTAAACAGGGGAGGCGCATGACCTCATGTTTCTGAAATTAACACCTGATGACAATTCGAACAGAAAAATCCCAAAAAATTCAGCGTGATTTTGGATTTTTGTGTTTAAATGATGCATACAGTACAACTGTGACAAGCCCAAATGGCAGTTTATGACCTAAACACCATGTGCCGGGTTAGTTCCCAGAAACATAGGTTCTGATACACAGAAATTATGTTTTGATACACAGAAATTATGATTACTTCCCCAAAAAAGTAATCCCATTACTTTACTGATTACTTATTTTCAAAAGTAATTAATTACTTAGTTAGTTTTTAAAAACACGATTTACAACCTGAAGAGGTGATAAAGCGATAGATCTTTCAGCCCAGTTCTACTTTTTCTACATAATCCATCATACAAAATGTAATCAAATGGAAAAGTCTCTTTTTAAAACTTGTTTTATTAGTTTTAATCTTTTAACTTTATGCATCAAGCAAAAATTTAATTATATGCAACATTCTCTGACTGGAAGAAATTTGTTTAACATTTGAACCTATTTTCTACACATTCCAGCACATAAAATAAAATATTTTTTTGTGTTTACACTCACTCATTCAAATAAATGCAAATGAAACACAGCAGAAAATAAATAAAATAAAAAAAACTAGCGGCCCTGTTGCTCTATTTTCACCTGTATAGCAGGAGTGGCGTAGGCGGAGGTTTACCCTGGTGCAGGTGTGCCGCAGCGGTCAGTTGAAGAATCCGCGAGTTTCTCTGTGAATTTCACATTACGTTGTAGCGCACTCGGTGCTTGCTCGGAAGTTTAGGGGTTTTTTCGCTGTAAAAAGAAGTTTTCTTCCCACGCAGTGAACAGCGGACGCTAATGTTTTTGTCATTTTTTTACGTAATCAAACTCAAAGGTCCTTCCACGCTTTAAACGCTGCACGCTCATACTCTCTCCCGCACTCGATATATGATCCATTGTTGATCTGCACACAGCTGTTGTCACGAACGTCGCACTCGCTTACGTCACTGTCATGAGACACTCTCGCACCGTTTTTGCAATAGTAATCCCTTACTTTACTCATTACTTGAAAAAGTAATCGGATTACAGTAGTTAATTCAGTTACAAGTAACGCGTTACTGCCCATCTCTGGTAGTCAGTAGTAATACAATCAGACCCATATATTTTAAGATATTGCTGTATGTGTCTGCTAACGTTAAAAAAAGAAAAAGAATAAAGCAAACTCTGCACCTGTCAACTGATGTGATCCAACACAAAAAGGCAGACAGGCTTTTTTTCTGCACTGTGCCTTTATAAGGTAACAGATGGGGCTGATGGAAGTGGTGTTTAGATGTGTGAGTGTGTTTGTGGACAAGCAACATATACACAAACTATCAGTTCTGTCAGATGGAAAGGGGATAAAAATAACGAATCTTGTTTGTACTGGAAAAAACAGGGATTGGCAGACACACACAAACACACACAACCTTGGACTTCCACTGGAGTCGCAGTCACTTCATTCTCTGCTTATCAGACATCTATTTACCCATCACACCTTTGATGCTCTCCTGTGATTTTTATCCAGCCATGTATTTTTCAGTCAACATCCTACACCTTTCAGCTTTTCCACTGATTGACAATCATTCCTTTAATCTAGTGTCCTCTTTCTGATTTCTTTCCCCTGTGAGGCCACACAAATTAAAGGTAACACTGACTTCACCTGCCAGAGGGGAGTTTTGCACAAAGCCTCATGTTCCAGCACACAGTGATCCATCAAGTAGAGAGTATGCAACAATATATCTGCTGCATTAATGATGGTATAACAATACGGCTACTCAATGACACTAGATACATTTTGTGTGTATCACCATTATTATTCACTTTTAGTGCCAGTTATATTTATTAGCCATCTCTCACAGGCCACCGTTTTCCTGTCAAGAAACCAGCAAAACTGGATTTAGAAAACTTTTAAAACAATATTTATTTGGTCTGAATTTTTGATAACAGTTAGAAATTGTTAAGATGAGCCTGGATTGATCTTAAGGAGTTGTTTTTGTTGTTTGGATTTGTTTTAGGTTTTAGGGCACACCGTCAAAATCTAAAAATGTGTGACCCCAGGAAGAACAGCTGCTGGACTGCTGCAGCTAATGGGGATCTTAATAAACTAAACTAAACTGCTCACCTTGTCTAACTAATCTGGTAAGTGCCTAGACTCCTGGAAGTCTAACGAGTGATAAAGCTATGCATGTAGCGCTGGTGTGTTGATAATTTTATCTATATTTCCATTGT